TCCACTCACACGCGTACTCACCGTCTAAATGGTACCCCAATTTTGCATAATATTTTCGAACTCCAACTCCACTAATAACACTGATTTTCTTGCTACCGTGTTCTTCTTTTGCTATTCTCTCTGCCTCTTCCATCAGTAAAGTTCCAAAGCCTTGATGTTGAAACTTGGTGGGGTCACGGTTATGCATCGGAACAACCGATCCATAAACGTGTAACTCTCTAATTATGGACGTTGGTGTAATTGTGAGCTCTGGTCGGAATGTAGCTGACGAGCATTTACGTAGACGAAGAAGGCCAATTAGAATATCCTGTTGAGTGTCTTCATATGATAGGAAAGTTTCCCACCCATCATTAGCAACGTAGTCACGCCGAATTAATTCAACCTGTATCAATATAGAAAGAGGTTATGCTATTATACAAACTCGTCACTCCTATCCCTCTGCATAAAAGGAGATATGATAATATTGTCCCACTCTTGAGACATGGTAAAGAAAAGTTTAGGCTATCGACTTGCTGTCATTAAAGCAAACTATACCTCTTCGGGTCGAACTTTGTTGTGAATGTCGACAATTCCAACTTCCCTTGTCCTAACATCTCGACATTCAATTCCAAGATCCTTCATCCTGTTCAGTGCTAGTTCACGTAGGTTTCCATGCTCGACGCCCGATGTTACCAGAGGCATTGGAATATCGCTAATGGCACAGGCAAGAAGAGTCAGAATCGAACGTTAATTCACAAGTAGTTTACAAATCGAGAACCTTATTTACCGCTGAACTCTATATATTCGTGTCCATGGAGGAACGAGAGCTAGTATTCTAGCAATAAGGTCGACAAGCGCAACGGGTGCATAGTTTTTGTATCTTCCCGTTCGCCAAAGTTCGTAAAGCCCTTAAGATAGAAAATGCAAATATTAGAGAATTCATTTTGTCGATGGAAATTATGTAGTATTTACCTGTGCCTCTGATAACCAAAGTTGGATAAATTTTCAGACCATCAGTACGAAAGGCTGGGTTCTCAAAGTATTCCTGCGAAGAACATGAGTAATGTCAATTAGAGTAATGGATTGGATTAACATTAACCATGCCAATTCGTTGCTGACAAATACCTTAAATTGCTCTAAATCCCTTTCCATACCGACATTTGGTAAATCTGGCATCATGTGAGCAACCACTTTAAATCCTGAATCTTTCGCTAATTGAAATGATTCCGTTACAGCCTTGACAGTATGTCCTCTGTTGGTATCACGTGCAACATCTTCATAAATGCTCTGGACGCCTATCTCTAGACGAGTACACCCATATCGGAGCATCTGGCTATAAAGAGAGAAATATTATGAATTAATCTGAGGCAAAAAAAAACGGTCACATATTAATACTCACCTCAAGTGAGGTTTGAGACAGTAATCAGGCCGTGTTTCAATAGTAATTCCAATACATTTTGTCTGACTCTGCTCTGAAAATCTAATGTAAAACGAAGAATAGTTTGTCAATATATTAAACGACTTCAAGAGAAACATTTATAGCGCTTTGATCTTGATTCTTGCACAATCTCACAATTCGCCTCTTTCGTATTGACTAACCTCTCCTAGACTCTCCTACCTCACAGACTCATCAACATCATCAGTTGCGTGGCCTGACAATGCGTTGTGCAAGTTCGCGATAAACCAGTTTTTGTAATCCTCTGGCAACGACATAAACGTGCCACCCATGATGATGTATTCGACCTTGTCTACGTCATGTCCTAAGCTTTTCAATTGATCGATTCGACCTTTGGCCTGCTCTAACGGATGATAGCGTGCACGGATAGCTCGCATACTAGTGGGCTCATAGCCAGTATAGGATTGAGTAGAATATTCAAAATCTGAATCGGGACCACCTGGACAGTAACTAG